AGCATTGCAAACTCTGGCTGTTGTCAAGCTCTGCCAAACACTGACTTGTGCGACGGGCTAAGACATGTAGTATCAAAACCAACGTCGTAAGTACGAATGATTATATAATACAATATTTCATGTTATAACATTCACATATTCATAATCGGTGTTGGTGTATTACGGTATTTTCACTGTCAGCAATACTGTCATTATTGGTTTTATCAATATCATTGTTGTAGTTGTTAGTTTAATTATAACTTTCAATAATCCAAAAAGCATCATCTTTGTTATCATTTAAATAATTAATATTGCCAATGCTTTTCTTATTAAAACTGTTCTTATTTTATTACTATAATGATTATAAGCTTTATAATCCTTACTGGTAATAATCATCCCTATTGTCGTTATCAGTTTGTTTTTTGTCACTGTCTTTATAAAGAACGTTTTACTACCATGGTATTACCATGACAACAATGGAGATACAATAATATGAGAAATATCATTGACGACAACAACAAGAAAAACAACTTAAGACTCTCGAAGCTGGCTTCCCTTTTCTTTATCGTTCTCCAAATGTTAAACAGTTATAAAGTTAACGCAAAGTTATAAATGGAAATCACTTTGCTGCGGAACAAACAACAATTAATTACTAATAACAACACATATGATAAAAATGCTGCAATAAAAAACTATGCTACCTGCCACGTGGAGAGAAACAAAACTCGCGCTCTTTTTAATATTTCGATCAGGCATTGCGTTTACATCCGGGATCCCTGAATGATGTCATCACTCGAGGGTCAAGGGCAGATAATCCCTCTCCTCTCCCATCTTCTCTTTCCCTCTCTTCTTCCTTCCTCACCCAAACGCTAGGCTAACTGCGCGCGTCCGCTAGCTCATTATTCAGGCCGCGCGCCCAATTTGCGTAATATTTATGAAATAATTGGAGGCGTTTAGCGGCAAGGCCAGCAATAAAGAATCTCGATTGAAACTGAGAGAGAAAAAAATAAGGAAATACAATAAAAATGATGGATATATATATATATATATATATATAAACACATATATACAAATATTATGTATATATGTAAATATGTATGTACACACACACACACACACGCGCGCACGCACACGCACGCGCACACACACACACACACACACACACACACACACACACACACACACACACACACACACACACACACACACACACACACACATATGTATATATATATATATATATATATATATATATATATATATATATATATATATATATATACGTATATGCACACACATATATGCATCTATGTATGTGCGTGTGAGTGCGTGTACATACATATTTACATATATACATAATGCATAAAATATCTATATATACATATTTATACATATATATATATTTAAATATATACATTCATATTTACTAATATGTAAAGCTTTATACATGCATATATATGTATATGTGTGTATGTGTGTGTGTGTGTGTGTGTGTGTGTGTGTGTGTGTGTGTGTGTGTGTGTGTGTGTGTGTGTGTGTGTGTGTGTGTGTGTGTGTGTGTGAGTGTGTGTGTGTGTGTGCGTGTGCCAGATTCTACGCCGTGGGGGTGTCCCGTCTCGGTCGTCACCCTTAATGGAAAGGTGTTCGATAGAACACGTTACGCAATCCATTTTCGAGATGGCTAGCGCCAACAATCCCCTTGAGAGCAGATCGACCTTGTACTAAGTTCCTCTTGACCTTAAAATGGTCCCACACAGATGAGGCGGGAATCATTAGCCAACGCAGTGCCAGTAGGTGATCGTTGTCCCGGGGAGATTACGGTACTTGTCGTCACGCGAGGAGACGGAGCGAAGGCCGGGATCTGAGGGACGCCCGTCGGGCGCTCACACACGGACGCGCACGCACACGCGCACATGTACATTCATAAATACATATATTCATACATAAATGAATGTATTCACACACACACGCACACACACATATATATATGTATATATATATATATATATATATATATATATATATATATATATATATATATACATATATATGCATATATATATGCATATAAATACATACATACATGCATACATACATACATATATATATATATATATATATATATATATATATATATATATATATATATACGTATATATATATATATATATATATATATATATATATATATATATATATACGTATATATATATATATATATATATATATATATATATATATATATATATATATATATAAAAGCATGTATGTATGTATGTATGTATGAAATTATTAACTTATGCATACATATGCGTCTATATATCCACACTTGTGCTGCGTAAGTGAATGTGCACAAGCACCCGTTTACATACAACGTCAGGCAGAGTAAAAAGTGCTTACATTGTACTGTATAGTCCCGCCTCCTTTTGCGGTGGCCATGCACCACTTTGTCAAACGCTCACACATAACACGTACAGCGCGGTTGCTACTTACCACTCCCCCAGTCGACTGCACTCGACCTCTGAAACAACAAAGTGCAATGCATTAATGATCAGTACCGAATGAAAAACAAACAAACAGTGAATGATATGGATAATACTAATCACGTCCAAGCGAAGAGCCAGATTTCCATTGTTCTGTGCTTTCCTGCTTATCCTCAATGGCTCAGAGAATGAACCCCTTATTTCTGTGAACACATTTCTTCCGCGTATGATCGACAATTTTTTCTTCTTTTTTTCGTAGAGCTTACGCGGCGCCTGATACTTGTATGTCACGAATGCTCGTAAACTATTCTGGCGAACACAAAGGAACCTGTATACACTTGTCAACTGGAGGGGGGGGGGGTGCGTAGCCAAGGTCAGGCCTGAATGGGTTTGAGCGACGGCGGGAGAGCGGCCCGCAGAGGACCGCGTTGGTGCGGCGTATTGCGAGCGAGCTAAAGAGTTTCCCATTTGTCAAATGTTGAAATGCGCAAATTCGCAATAAGGAGGTAGTAACCAATATCTTAAAAAAGAAGAAGATTAATCAGAAGAACAAATACAAAGAAGAAGAAGAAGGAGAAGAAGAAGACGAACCAGAGAAACAAAGACAAAGAAAAAGAAGACGAATCAGAACAAATATAAAGAATAATAAGAAGACAAGCCAGAAGATCAAAGACGAAGAAGAAAAAGAAAAAGAAGACGAACCAGAGAGGCAAAGACAAAAGAAGAAGACCAAACAGAGAAGCAGAGATTCGGAAGAGGACGAAGAAAGAAGGAGCAGGAGAAATGGAAGAAAGTGAAAGAAGCCTAAGACGCCACGACGCCCAACGCGAGCCGAAGTCCGCTTGAGGAATCGATCGACGGAGTCGCGAGAGAACAGCGATTGGTAAAGCATGATGAAGAGGAGGAGAGGAAGAGGAAGAAGAAGAAGAAGAAGAAGAAGAAGACGAAGGAGGAGGAGGAAGAGGAGGAGGAGCAGGAGGACAGTAGCGACGATACCAGCAGCAACTATTACTAGAATTCAAAGCGACAATAACAATAATAGCAATGATATGAATACAATGGTGGGCTAACTATTAGAATTATGAGCTCAAGGTAATACTGTTCATTATTATCACCTGCGATAGTGAATGACAGTCACAGTAAAATGATTAAAGATAATCATGATGAAATTATGGATTATAAGTATGATCATATTTTGTATTAATATCAGGATCATTTCGCAAACACAGTCATGTTGACAGAAAGTTACCATGTTCTGTAGGGAATGCTTAACCATCGATTAACATAAAAAAGAGAGCGAGAGAGAGAGAGCGAGAGAGAGAGAGAGAGAGAGAGAGAGAGAGAGAGAGAGAGAGAGAGAGAGAGAGAGAGAGAGAGAGAGAGAGAGAGAGAGAGAGAGAGAGAGAGGGGGGGGGGGGGAGCGAGTGAGAGAGAAAAGGTGAGGGAGAAAACGAAACAGGCAACACCAACACAAATACGATACGCATATATGGAATAATGCCATGGATACAGATACATTCCTGGCGATATTGGCAATAACACAACACACGAAGAAAAAATATTTTCCCAAGGAGATAAACATTAATTGGGCAAGCGCTGTTGGGACGGAAGCGTACGTGTTGACGCTCTGCAATATGCAATGGCTCACCTGGCCTCGAAACAGAGAGAGAGGGAGAGAGAGAGAGAGAGAGAGAGAGAGAGAGAGAGAGAGAGAGAGAGAGAGAGAGAGAGAGAGAGAGAGAGAGAGAGAGAGAGAGAGAGAGAAAGGAAAGAGAGAGAGAGAAAGAGGAAAGAGAGAGAGAGAGAGAGAGAGAGAGAGAGAGAGAGAGAGAGAGAGAGAGAGAGAGAGAGAGAGAGAGAGAGAGAGAGAGAGAGAAAGAGAGAGAGAGAGAGAGAGAGAGAGAGAAGGGGGGGGAGAGGGAGGGAGAGAGAGAGAGCGCATGGGTGTAATCAATTCTAAACAGAGCCACATACGAAAAGTACACCTACTGTTAATGTAAATAAAGCCCCCCCCCCCCCGCCACCAACTTCATGCTCCACCCCCTCCCCCGGCTCAAGGTCGACCGCCCCCCCAAACACCCCCGCACACGCAATGCTATGACAACGCGGGGTTCTAGAAGTTTCGTTCAGTGGATTTCATTGTATGTGATTTTTTTTCCTTTTTTGAATGCGTGCGTGCGTTTGTCTTTCTATATGTGTACATATGTGTGTGTGTGTGTGTGTGTGTGTGTGTGTGTGTGTGTGTGTGTGTGTGTGTGTGTGTGTGTGTGTGTGTGTGTGTGTGTGTGTGTGTGAGTGTGTGTGTGTGTGTGTGTGTGTGTGTGTGTGTGTGTGTGTGTGTGTGTGTGTGTGTGTGTGTGTGTGTGAGGGTGCGTTTGGGTATCATTGTGATTTCATAAATCGATTAGTGTCCAGAAAGTACATATTTTTGTGGCTTGAAGCTTGTGGCTTGGAAACTATAGCGAATGTCTTTCTCGAATTTTCCCGTCGTTACCGCTAACTTTCATAAAAGAAAGTCAAATCATGACAACGGCAAAGAAATAAACCCGTAGTTTATCAGCATATTTTACGCGGATCAATAATTCTGAGAGAGAGAGAAAGAAAGAGAGAGAGAGAGAGAGAGAGAGAGAGAGAGAGAGAGAGAGAGAGAGAGAGAGAGAGAGAGAGAGAGAGAGAGAGAGAGAGAGAGAGAGAGATGGAGATAGATAAACAGACAGAGGCAGATAGATAGATAAACAGACAGAGGCAGATAGATAGATAAACAGACAGAGGCAGATAGATAGATAAATAGACAGATATATAATAGATAGATAGATAGAAAGAGAGAGAGAGGAAAAGAGTGCGAGAGAGCCGCGCACGTTATCTGCCGTGATGCCTCGTGAAAGGCAACCGCAGCAGCCGGCGAGGAAGCCCCAAGAAGCAGTAAAGCGCTCGTGTGGTTTGTGTTTGGGTGTGAGGCGAGAAAGGAGAAATTAGAATTGAGGAACAATATAACAATAAAGATAGAAAGAGACAACGATAGAAACTTTAGCTGAGGTAATTTTGGGAGGAAGAGTGTATAGAGTGTTTGTTAAGCCAAAATAAAGACAGTATAGAGACACTAAAAAGAAAATACCAGGAAAGAAATAAAACGCTGTGAATATCTTTCTCTTATGACTGGGATGAAACCTTAGCAAATCTAATGACGTATTCATGTAACCCTCCAAACCTACTCATCAATAAGCATGTAAAACAACGAACTGCGCGCCAAAGTAGAAGGTAAAACTTTCGATGATGTCATCCCAGAGAACACGTTCAGGAGAGAGGGAGGGGGGGAATGGGTCAAGGGGGTGGGGTGAATGGGTCAAGGAGTAGAGAGAGCCGCCGAGAGCCACCGCAGGCGAAGGGGGAGTGGGACAGGGAAGGGGGAGTTGAGGAGGAGGAGAGAGAAGCGAAGAGGCTGAGGTTAAGGCAATCCGGAGGAAAAGCGGACAGATCTTTCATTTCATCGTCTGCATACATTTTCCGCGACAGCCCTGTAGTTTCGCCAACATGTCAGTAAACCAAGATGAGAACAAACAAGCATACGAATAAGGCCTTTTCGCGGTATCCTTTCTTCGATACAACGAAAAGGCCTTCGGGATATTCGGATGTTGCTTTTACTTCCCTTAGCTGTGTTATTTATATATAAATAAATAAGTAAATAAATAGAAAAACAAAAACAAAAAAATATATATAATAAACGCACACACACACACACACACATACATACATATATATATATATATATATATATATATATATATATATATATATATATATATATATATATATATATATATTGTGTGTGTATGTGTTATTTGTGTATTTCTTTACTAGTGTCATATAATTCTTATTGAAAATTTCCCGCGTAAAAGGAGCCCGTAGTGTCTCCAAAATCAGCCTCTAAACGACCTTTACACAAAGACATTTATCAAGAAAGGAAATCTAGGCCTAAATTCTTCTAAAAATTACGTCCAATCACAGAATCCGCTTCCTGTACATCACACAATAAGCAGGAAAGGGAATACAATACGCAGCTACATCGGCGGACGCGCATGAGTGTGTCGGCCATGACGTCACTGCCTCGGCGCGCGTTACGTCATCTCCGAAGCGGGATTTAAATGCCCAGGTGAGATGGGTAGGGCCAGTGTGGCTGCCTTTACGCTCGAATTTCACCTTCTTTAAATGTTTATGAATTTATCTTTGGCATTTATTAGCTTGAACAACTACTTGTGTTGGTTTGTTGAATTATGAACAACGAATTTCGGATGTGTGAATGCGCCTAAGGGAATTAAAGTATCTATAGAAAACAGGTGATCAGGCAAGCTCAGGGAAAAGGGTTGGATCCGTTGCGAAGATCGCTGGAGCGTGTTTACAGGGATGACTTTCAAATGAAAAGTGTCGGACATGTTGACTTTACGGAGATTAAGGGGTGAGGAGGGAGGGGGGAGAGAAAAGAGAATAGGGGAAGTGAGAGCCGAAGAGATAAGGGGAGGTGATAAGACAGATAAAAAAGGAAAGAAGAAGAAAAGTGGAGATAAGAGATAATAGGATAGGATAAAAAAAATGAGAAAAGAAAAGAGCAAAGAAGAGCAGGTAAAGCGGAAAGGTAACATCAAAGAAGAGAGAGGAAGTGAAATGAAAAGAGGTGAAGAGACGAGATGAAGGCAGAGTTAGAGAGCTGCAAACAACAACTAATCATCTTTTACAAAGACTAATGCCATGCGTATTGTTCAATCTTCATTTGTGATTATCATTATTTTCCCTAAAAAACACGAACACAAAGAAGTCCCGTTCCTTTGCCTCTTGATGGTGCATTTTTTTTCTTTTCTTTTCTTTCTTTTTCAATTTCTTCCTGCCCCGGATGCGCTTAATTTTCTTGGCGTGGGACAGGGACAGTCTAAGACATCTCTTTATATAATAAAAATTCTTATTATCTACATTTTTTGTAACTTTGCAAACTTTATTGCTATGACCATATCAATCAACAATTTCGACAACTACAGTGCGCTGGTTC